AAGCTAAATACACCATGGTTCAAGTTCATTACACAATACTACTTATTCAGTATTATACAGTAATACTGTTCTGGCTTACATACAAATTTGACTTGACAGACCTTGGGAGCAGAACTTGTTCTTAAACTGGGGACTACCTGTACTCTGTGTGTGCTTAGTCTTAGGTATGAATAGGTTTTTCCTGGATATTTGCAGTCTGTATTATTTTCTTAACCTTTGTGTTTGTGTGTTTTTTGTCTATAACTATATATTTTAATACATTTTTAAAAATCTCTGAACTGGCCCCAACGGAGAATATTCTCATTGCCCTAAATAAAAAAGCCAACTCGTTGGATAATAAGTGGAAGGTGAGAGTTGTGAGCAAGGAAAGAGACAAAAGTTTACCATCATTTCTTATTACATAGTTTTAATAGAAGTATGTACTCAATTGTTGTTTATATATTTTAAAGGAAAAAGAAACTATTATTTTCTCTTTTTTTAGTTTTCAGCTATCTGAATATGCCTGTTTACTAAAGAGAAAGGTGTGGAGCCTTCTGCATTTAGCTGTTCCAAGAAATCTTTGGCTCTAGATCAAAGCTGGGTGGGGAAGAGAAATAAGCATGAGAGTTACAGACACCATAGTCATCGGAGCAGGGGAATCTTTATCTTTAGCTTTATCTTAATCTTCTTCTGAAACCAAGTTGTAGGAGCCACAAGTAAAAAGGAGAGGAAAAGAAAGAAAAACATTTTAAGATTTCATTTTCTATGGAATTTCCCACACCAAATAAAACTAGGCAGGCAGGTAGAGAGACAGATAGACAGTCACAAGCAACATGTAAGGCAGGATATAGGGATGGATATGTAGCACTCACTTTTGAGTCCTGATGACTGCATTCATGCCCTTGTTTTGGCACATTATGGAAGTGGGTTGCCATTGCCTTCTGCTGGGTATGTGGTTGTTTTAATTTCTTCAGCATTTGCTTGCTTACCATTATGAGTCCCACCCCCCATCCAAGCACTTATCAGGACTGACCCTGCTTAGGTTATGAGATCACAAAGGTTGGCTAGGTGCTGCTATCTGCTGAGGCCTTTTCCAGTGCAGTCCTGTTTCATAGAGGTCTATAGCAGGGTGGACAGCTTGTGGTGTTCCACATATTGTTGGCCTCCAAGTCATGCCATCCCTGATCATTGGCCATGCCAGCTAAGGGCTAATGGGAGTTGGAATCCAATAACATCTAGGCAGGTGCAGCTTGCCCACCTTTGGCCTACATTTATGGGACACGTTTTCCATGAAAATGTCTGGCAATCCATCTCCTTTACTTGTTTTATAATAGAATAGTGACTCTGGTACTATGGCTCACATACTTCCCAAGACTGCATACATATAATCCCGCCTCTTAAAAGGAAGGGACTACATGACTCAGGTCTCAGTGTCTCTAAATTTCTACACAGGACATTAATATTCTGTGTTACATCATGTACAATCTAGAGGAGACCTATACACTCAATTTTTCCATGATGGAAAAGGAATGATTCATCATTGGCCAAGAAGTTATGAAAATATCATTATAAATCAGTATGTTCCAACAAATCTTTGTTACCTACCCTGCTTCCCAATTAAGCATATATATGTGTCCTTTATCTGTATCCTATAAATCACGCATGTCAGGGCATCTGGATTTAAATTGTTATTAGGCATGTCATGCATTTCAAGTATAACTCTTTCATCTTTCTCTCTTTCCAGCAACTGTACAAAAATAAGATAAGGAAATCCATTTAAAATATCCAGGCAGCCAGAGTTTTATATTTTCCTATGGCTTTCTTAACAATAGATTCAACAGAGAGGAAAAAGTTTTCCTCTGCATGCTAAGAACAGGATGTTCCTGGTGGACTATGGCAAACTCAATATGTTGAGCTAATTTGTGGTAACATGGGATTTAATATATTACAGGCATGGTTTAGACTAGATTAAGTCATTTTAATCTGTCTTAATGGAATTATTAAGCATAGAAACCAGTGGGATTTCTAATAGGGAGAGTTCTGGTTTTTTTTCAGACCCATTCCTGAGCAGTGTTATAACAAAGTAGAGAGTGGTATAGATTTAATAGTAAAAACTACAGAATATTTGCTTAAATAAATGTGTATCTTAGACATTCAGTTGGTTATAGAGAGATTTCGATAGAGGGAATGGAGGAGCTTTTCTAGAGGGAAATCTTGGTTAGCAGCTGCAAATCAGGTATTAAAATTGCCACTCCTGAAATTGTTCTAATATCAAATGCTTCTGTAAATACTTTTTCCAGGGGGAGGCAATGGTGGAGATGCTCACAATATATTTTCCTCATCTAATCAAATGTTAGTGAATATATGTCCTAAGGCTGATTTATGAAATTCAAGATCACTGAATACCTATCTAGAACTTATAGAAGAAACTTGGAAATGTAGCCTTTAAAACCCCTCAGAAGGGGAGAGTGAAAACAACGTTTATTTTTAAAAAATATGATTTGAATAAACTACCCTTCCATCTTCAAATTAAAAATTATGCAAAAAATCCCACAACAATTTTATCTATCTATCTCTGTCTGTCTGTCTGTCTGTCTGCCTGCCTGCCTGCCTGCCTGCCTGCTTGCCTGCCTGCCTGCCTACCTACCTACCTACCTACCTACACAGGCACACACACACACCTCACATGTTATTTTAGAGATCATAAGTCAAGAAAAAAGGAGAAGAAAATGGAGCTCCTTTAAATGGAGGGAACAAAACCTAATTCCTACCACAACACTGCATATGCGGTCTGTATACTCTGCATATTGAAATCCAATCAAATATAAAAAAATGAAATCCTCTTACATTTTGGACTTTTCCCCCAGAGTTTATCATGCAAGCTAACCAAGTTATTTTTAAAGGACTAGCCCTGGAAAAGAAATTTCAGAACTAGACATACAAGATGGAGACAGTCAGTGGAACTTACTGCCATCGTTATAAAATGTTGCCACAGGAAAACGGTACATAAAGCACATTCTACTGAACAATGTTCAAGTTTTACTACAGTTAACGTTGAAATGGTTTCTGCTACATTCCCAAAACTCTTTTCCTTTGAGCGCCCAACCCTGAAATGTGTTGGATCATAAATAGCCCCTACATTTTTCTCCTTTTCCCCATGAACTGATATGAAAGCCATAGAGGAAGCTCCGGTTGGTCGCTGCAGCTACTGCTGCCACAGTGAGGCTGAGTCATCCCCAAACAACGTGGTAGCTTTTTGCAAAGCTTTGGGTTAGCAGCAAAACAGCAGAGGCTGCAGTCTAAGTGGGCATGCAGTACCTTTTTGCTGGACCGAATACAGCCAATCCAAGAGAAGTTAAATTACAGTTCTGTGAATTCAACCCATCTGATTCCATTCAAACTAAATTCTATGGACCACAATTAGTTTAAACACAAGGGTGAAAATGAATATAAGATTTCATAACTAACAAAAGTAGCTTGAAGGATGATTTGACTGTGCAGTTTATTACAGTGATTCTGTTGGAATCAGTTTAATCATACGCTCCCTTCTGCCTGGCTGTGAAGTCTTGTTTTTTTAAGGTTTGATTTGAAGTGGTTGGAGTAGTAAGGTAAAATATGCATAGACATAAATATACATGCGTTGCTTAGAAACTGTACCACTTGCTGCCCAGGAAAGAAGGGAAGGCTGATTTAACAATCAACTGACCATCCAGCATGTTCATAAAGTGGACTGCAAAGTTAAACCTGTTGCTGTTATCAAAGATGCAAATCTTGATACAGTTACTCTTAAATATTTTATTTCTAGTTTCACCCTTGTGGTTTTGATGGCACAAACTTAGCAGTCCTCTTGCAAAATATTACATGAAAATGCTCTCAATGTACACTTTTTAAAAATTTCAGTTTCCATATATACCTTCTTTTTCCTCCCTGCTCACACCAAAATCACATCACTGACTACAAGCCCTCCTTGCTTCCTGCCCTGGTCTCCCCCTGATCTGGTACCCAAGAGTAATTATCAGTGATATTCTTAGAATTTTTCTTTGCTTCCTTGGCTTTCATTTTCCTGTAGATGACCCAGCCCAGGGCAAAAGACATTAGGAACAAAACACCCACACCACCCAAAATATAATATAAGACTTGTTGCTTGGAGCCCTGACTGTTCTTGTCTGTCCTCCCATCTCTGATAGGGTGTTCAGTCTCCAGTGCCTTGCTGACCACAGCGGGCTGAAGGGTAGAATCCTGGGATGTGAAGCCTCTTTCTAGCTCAGCGTCAAGTGAAGAGTCAGGCAGCAGGGCTGGTAACTCTGAAGCAGGTTGAATGTTTGTTGGAATCCCCCATTCTCCTCCCTGAGTGGGTGGTGAAGAGGTGCTGCCTGTGGGGTCCGGGAGGCAAGAGATCCCATTGGGTGCCAAAATCCAGCCAGCCCTGCAAGAGCACTGGTAGCTGCCAAGTTGGTTGATACACATATGTTCACAAAGTTCTTCCTGGCACTCATCAATATCAAGACAAGAAGAGCTATTAATACCTTCCAGTTGGTATCCTGGCTGGCAAGAGCAGTGGAAGGAGCCATGAGTATTTACACAAAACTGGTCACATGGTGTGTTCCTAGCACATTCATCAATGTCCTGACATGCCTGGCCATCAGACTCAGCAGCCGTATAGCCTAGGTTGCACTGACATGTGAAGGACCCCTTGGTATTCACACATATCTGTTCACAAGGGCTTTGAGGAGCACTACACTCATTCATATCTATGCAGCTCTGCTCATCATCAGCCAAAATGTAACCAGAAGCACAGAGGCATTTGAAGCCACCAAGGTAAGGTAGACACTGCCCTTGACATGGATTGGAACTGCAGTAGTCCACAGGGACACAGGAAAGATGGTCCTCTCCAAGTTGGTATCCCAAATGGCATGCACATTGAAACAAGCCCTTGCCCTGTTCCAGGCACTCATGTTCACAACCCCCATTGCTGTAGCTGCAACCATAAGTGGGTGAAGCACAAAATGGGCCTGGGCTGCTCCATTCAGAGATATTGCTGTTTGGCTGTGGCTTGCACACAAGGAAGATGTTAGGTATCTCCTCTCCTTGGGGTCCACATGCTACTTCAGCTGTGGAGCCAAAAGGCACAGTTATAAGGAAAGCAGTGGCTACTCCAAAAGGGGTGCTGTAGCTGACAATACCTGGCCCTGCCAGTGTAAGTGGACGGCACATCCCCTGGAAACTGAACTTGCACAAGAAGCCTGACAACCCAGGAGTTGCATTACCGCAGAAGCTGTCTACCCAAGACAGTTCCTGAGATGAGAAGGGAGTCCCCTGAAGGGTCACACACATATTTGACATGCATGTTTCCCGGGGTTCCTGTCCCCATTTAGAGTACTGGGTCTCCTCACCTCCTGTCACCCAGCGGAAGCCCCTCAGTGGCTGATGTTGCTGGTAGCATTTGCCTTTCTTTCGGTGAAGCCCAATCCACAATCTTACCTCCACAACTGTGCCAGCTTCCCCTTTGGGCATCTTGGCCAGCAGCTGCTGGACAAGCAAAGCCTCTTCTTGGCTTTTCAGAGTCATCAGGTTACCCCCATTGTCTCTGCACTTTTGCTGAGCTTCCATCCAGCTGAACCTTCCAAAATTCAGTGTGTAGCAAGTGGTCCCAGAACACAAGGCTTCTACCTCTTCACTGGGCTGGATTGTCAGTCCCAAAAGCAGCAGCTGCCAGAATACCTGCTGAGGAATCTCCATCTTTGCTGCATGAAGGAGCAATGAACTGAGTGATTTCACTTTGAGCTCAAATTCTAAAAATGTCTGTAAAGCATATGCTAAGACAATAGAGCCCAGCTTGTTTGCCTCCCATATCCCTTTGGCTCAGCAGTTGGGTCATATGCATCCTGTCTTGGTTGAGAGTCTTATTTGTCACCGGAGACTTAAGTTTCCTGCGAGATTTTTATTGTCAGCTGCAGCTCTTGTTCAGTTTGGTTCAACCTATGGTTATTGGACACTTCCCTTTTATACCCTCTCTCAGCTTTCTTATTTTTAACCTAGTTCTTTTCCTTCATGTGAGAATCTTGGTGGAATGCACACTGCCACTCCTCTCCTCCCTCCGTCCCTCCTTCTCTCTCTCTCTCTCTTTCTCTTTCTAAATTATAAAACATCACTGAACTTTCAAACAAACCAAATAAGGCCTTCCAATCTTGGAGTATCATGTGATCTGGACATAAGATGCCACATGTAGATGGAAAAACATTGTACAGTCCTTCATAATATTGACCTCACATATTTATGATCTTTAAATAGAAACAAAGCTCATAAATAGAAATTGGGTCATGGGAATGTCTACGTTTTAAAGACAGCCACACTTTCTAAGGGTTCAGAACCGATTCCTATACAGTACATAGTGTGAAATCCTGATTCAGCCAAAAATGATAGGCCAATTTTTTTCTATTGAGTTTAACATGCAATGCATACAAAGGTTTAAAATGTAGTGCTCACAAAGAATTATGTAAATCCAGCACTGAGTTCTTAAAGTAATATTTGAATTAGCGCAGTTACAAAGATCTAACACAGGTTCACTTTTGAGATGTGTGAAATTATATCCAAATTAGATTCCTAAGGTAATGGTATGAATACCAGCACAGTTCTGTCTTAAGGTGACATAGGAATTTAGCAAATTGCCTTAGCACTGAATTAGCCTGTGGATAAATCATTGTTTTCTACTACAGCCTTCTGAATGTGGGATTGCTGCAGCTGTGTTAGATTACAACTCCCATCATCTCAAGGTGGCATGCTGAATGGAGTCAAAGTTCAACACATGAAGTGGGAACAATATTTGCAATGACTGCTCTACCTTAATTGGCAGAGTTTTTCAGAGACTTAGGCAGCAGTCTTTCTCAGCACTGATCCTGGTGCTCCATGAAGCATGTGAAGAATAACAATTTCAGAGATATAACAAAAGATTGTTCTCACAATAAAAGATGATTCCCAGAAAAAAAGAAGGTTCCCATGTGGAATGGATAAGGCCATGCAGTTGGACAGAAGTATCAAGAGGTGTGAGAAAAGGGCCAAGGGAAATCTGGTCAAAAACTATAACGTTGTATGAAAATTGTCATCCTTTGGAGCCATTATATAGAATCAGATATCACACATGGTGGGTATCCCACCTCAGTTCTTCTGGAGCTCAAACCTAGGCTCCCCTGCTAGACTTTGAGGTGATTTATGGATGTGTGAATATGAGAGTGAGTGACGCTTTTAGTTTATAAAACAAACAATAAATATGATCAATTTACCTTTGTTTCTAGATACACTGTATCTCTGGATAAAAAGCAACTCTGGAAGTACCATAAAAGCCTGCCACACACATACACACTACAACCCACTAAGCAATGCCCCCAAGATAGCTGTGAATAAGAAATTGGTGTCGCCTTAGATATTACATATATTCATTTTTAAAGGTACAAAGTCTGAACAGTATGAGATATGAAACAGAAGCTATTATAAAATCTATGCTTGGTAGTCAGGGAAGAAAATAAGTTACATTTTTCTCCTTAATTAGAAGAATTAATTGTCCACAGAAAGTCAATCAATTGAGTTTTTCAGAGCTATTGGACAGATGACTGTGTCTTTGATGATCCCAACTGATGTTCTGCTAATATTGTAAATAGTTTGCATAATTCTTCATGTGAAATTAAAATAGGCTTGATGTCATTTTGGGAAATAAGGTTCCTTTGATATCTAATAATGCCCATCTGCCACAGTTTTGAGTTTTTCTGCTGAGTAAGTAGAGAAGGAATCTTGATCTGGTCACACTACCACTTGTTTCTTAGATCCTTTTATAAGCTTGGCTTATAAGGGGTCCAAGGACTCTCCTTCCACTGATTTCTAAGATTACTTATACTTTCTTTGCCAGGAAGAGTTCTCTGCATTCCTAAAAGAGTCAGTGGTGAGATCTTTGCTTTAAAAAACCATAGTCTACATTTAGCATATGATGGTACTACCACCCCAGAGGCCCTGATATTTAGATCCAAATTTGGTATGGAAATTGCCACTGTGATCCTGATGGATGATCTGTAGAGAACTATGACCCTATTGATACATGCAGAACTTGTGCTTTTGATACTACTGACCACAGTATTCTATTAGAGCATGTAAAGAAGCTGCTGACTGGCTCCTTAGCATTTGATTTTCCTGAACTTTAATTGTTTCTACCCACAACCTGGACTGACAGGTTTAGAGGACATAGGGAATGGCCCTGAAGGACAGGAGGAAGAGCAGCTACCAAGGCAATAGTCAAATAAAAGGGGCTTGAGCCTTGGTCAAGAAAATAATGTGAGAAAACATCTCAGACAAACCCCTTCTGAGTTCACACAAAGATAAAGTGAGAGAGGGGGGAATAAATTCAGACTTCCAAGATTCTGTTACAATAACTGTTACAGTAAAAGTAATCCTGACCTATATGGCATTGATTTCTTAGTCTGGTCTACCTTATTGGGCTGACATCAGATCAGCTCATTTTCCCTTAACACTTTCAGTGTCTGAACCTCTTGGAGTGGGATTTTTCCCCATTCCCTGTACCAGGTCTTTTTAGTTAGAATTAGTTATAGTGTTGCTAACTGTTTGTATCAGATAGTGTTTAAGTTTCCATCTTTTATTGTTAGCTGTCTGAAGTGCCTTCTGGGGAGAAAGGTGGGGTACAAATTGAAAGAAAGAGTAGGAGCAGTTGGGGCTAATGTAAATGTTACTTTTATTGCAGTTTGCAATCATACAAGTATATGGTAAGACACAGCAATTGTATCTAATTGGCTCACATTGGTGCCAAAAAGTACACCTTTTTCTTTGTAAGTGGAAATGTCCCCCGCCCCATAAAGGGATTACAGGTGGGGAGAGAAAAGTTTAAACCTGCCCTAAGTCACTCAAACTAGTATCAGGCTAAAGAAACTTGCTTCAGGCAGCATCATAAATGAGGATAACAAAGAGCTACACAATCTTTTTTTAGGACAATTTTTTTTTTCATGGGGAGTCTTGAATCACATGTTGAGAGTCAAACTCCAAATTATGAATGAAGCTGGGACAAGGAAAGGGGCAAACAAAAACTAAATTAAATTATCTTTAGATACAATTACATTTCATTCTGGTTTATGTAATTACTCCCCCATATATTTAATTACTTACCACTTCTTTAAGGTTAAGGTTCAGGAAAGGGTAAGGGTACCAATATGTTTTGTATTTGTTTTAATTAATTAATTAATTAATTAGTTTTTAATTAATTAATTAAATTAATTAATTAATGTTTGTTGTGAATTGCCCATAGTTCCCCCATTGGGGGGAGATGGGCGGTCAAAAAATTTAATAAATAAGTAAATAAATAAGTGTTTGGGCTGCAGAAACACAGATGGCATCAGAGATACCGAAAATTGACTGTAGCAGTTGGCACTCAGCGGCCCTGAACAAAGTACCAGTCTGGGAGCAGTGCTGGAGAGGCCCTGGGAAGCATACCTCTGCTTCTACATCGACAGGCAGAGCTGTGTCTGAATAAGGAAGCAAAACTGTTGAAAATATTAGCTATAGGGGGCTGATGAAGCCATCATTTGCGAGACAATCTTGTCCAGCAGAATTCATTAAGTTCTTTCAAATCAATTTGCCAATCCTAAGGGAGAGTTAGGCAGATGATGCCAGATGATGAATCTTCAAAGCCAGCAGATCCAACAAAATCAGTATTATGATTTTGAAGGTGATGCTTCTTCAGGCTACATACTTCTTGCAACACAACGATCAGTAAATGAAAGCTATGTTGTACCTGTGATTCCATTAATAGGCTTAGCCCTTTCACCATCTCAAAGGCTCAGCAGAGAACTGCAGAGAAGCACAATGGTTTTAGCAGCAAGACCAAGTGTGCATGTGTGAGTGTGTCTCTGTGTTAATATATGAGTCAATGTGCAAAATCTAGGAATCTTGTACCATAAAATACATGGTTCATTCTCTAAATAAGAATTCTATTAATAATATTATTGTCTTCAGATATAACCTAGCTTTAAGTCCTGATGAGTCAGAATCTAATTTCAGGAGAAGCACTACAATCAACATTTCTTCCTCAACTCTCACCAATGGCTTCATTTCTCTTTGACATTATACCAAAATATCACTGTTTTCTATATCACAGAAATACTTTGACAAGAATCAAGCATGCCTGAGACTGATATTTCTGTCTGCCCGCTTAGCATATTTTTACTCATATTCATATACTCTTTGGTGTCCTTGGATTAGCACAGCTCTTGGGACAGCTGTTTCTCATATATGGATGCATAAAAGGATTTTGTAGAGTGGTCGTGATGAAACCTCTCCTGGCAACTCACTTGAGTTTTCTGAAAGCCGAATGATGGACTGAGGCTGTTAATGGTACGGCCCTATTGACTTCTTAGGGTTTACTTCTGAACTGACATGTAGAAGATGGCAATTGTAGATGTTTTTATGTACTGAATATATGTGATTGTTGTCATTTCAGTAACAAACATGAAAGGAAGGTGATCAAGATAAATGCTCCTTTCTCCTGCCCAAGATAGAGCAGATTTTAATGCTTCCCTGATGCCAGACTGAAATCCTGGAGAAAATTCTTCACCAATACCCTTGCCTGGTCTTTCTCTTTTCTAAAAGCTATAAAGCAAGGAAAATCTTCCAGGCTAACCTTAAGCTCACTAATTTAAGGTAAGTGCTTTTAGATAGTCTTTGTGTTTACCTTTGGAAAAGTAATTCACACAATTTCTTTTGATTCTGGCGGTGAATTAAATTTAGCTCCAGATTAATATGAACGTCTGAAAGATTTTCTCCAGACAAAGGCTAATCTAGTTGGCCTAAGGCTCCTCTTTCACAATCCTGCTTCATTTCAGTGGGGTTTGCAAAGGGGAACTTCCTGGATTGTGCCCCCTTGCTTTATCTTGGAGAGACAGCAAATTCTCTGTAATCCAAATATATTCAGTATGGTATTGTATTCTGTACTTAACTTCCTGCTGGGATATCCTGTAGCAATCATTTGTTTTGACTTAAATGCTTATCTACAGGATCATA